CCTCGCCGCCAGCAGTCCCACCGCCAACAGTTTCGCAGCAACCACTCCCACTTGGGGCTGATTTTCCACAATCAGTTAAAACCATGGCTAAAAAAATGAAAATGCAGGCTCCCAAAACATCAGCGGCTTGTTTGATGGTTTACCAGCAAAACAGAACAGAGTTGGAAAAAGAAAAGTTGGAGAAGCACCTAGAACTATCAAAAGCTGAAATTGAATTGAAAAAAGAAGAGCTAAAACTTAAGAAAATTAAATTGGAGCAAGATGAAAAAATAAAACGGATAGAAATAGAAAAAGACGAAGGAATAGCTACGTATGAAATACAAATGAAATACATGAAGTAATCCAAAATTTAACTTTTTTTATTCAAACATTAATGAATGTATTGCTAGCCTTTTAGTTTCCCCTTTTCTGWTTGGTTGTACATCCTCGCTTTCCTCACCGTTGWCATCAGTGTACTCGTACGTGGTGTCCTCATCGAGATTTATGTATTCGTTGTTTGTGCTGTCATCTTCTCGTAGTATGTTGTGCAATATACAACACACAACAAACCAATCACAACATAAATTGTGGCTTTCTTTATCTATAAGGCGTGCTCTGAACTCCTTAAGACTGCAAAACCGCTCCTTCAATAGGCCGAAGCAATGTTCGACTCGAACTCGWAATTTACTGTGACGCAAATTGAAATTAATTCGAGAATTTATGTSTAGCACTCGAGCATTACTTCGGAATGGAGTTATCATAGTTTCAGACAAAGGATAGGCTGAGCCACCAGCTAACCACTGCTGTGACGAAAAAAATTTTTCTTTTTGCAAGAAAAGTGAGCTGCTGCGGTATACAATAATTGCGGCCACCGCATGCAGATCTCTGATACATACACACAGTTAGCACAGTCAGCAACCACAGCATTGTTGTGATCGAGACAAAATAAATAAGCAAATAAAAACTAGAAACGAAAATTAATTAATATATTTTGTATTATCTTTAAGCCGTAGTAATGTAAGCAAAATATGTTATCAATATGTATGACTATGAGGAGCAACCACCCACCTCAACTGGAGTAAGGAAGCCATCAACGTCGTCAACAACAAATAAAACTCCATCTGCCATTGTCGGAAGCAGCAATAATTCAAGAGTTTCGAGAAGACGGAACTGGAAGGAAGTAAACTGGGGGGACAAAACAACATCGCGGACAACGCTGAACGGACACCGTTGACTACAAAATAACGTAACGGACAATATGGTAGATCGGACATATTCATGTGGTCTGAACGTTTTGAAGTGCAAAGATCATCAATTTGTGTCCATATTTATTTATTGTAACTAATTTAAATAAAAAATAAATTGAATGTCTCATTACTACCCACAAGTATAATATGTTAATGGTAAATAAACGTTAATTTTGACATTAGTTTTGATTTATGACAAAAATTGGTACTAAAACTGATGTGCGCCGTATAAGAAAAAGACTTCGTAATCACTCAAAACCATTTTAATTGCACAAAACCCAAGTATATATAAGTAAACTACAAGTGGTTGCGCCAATATAACAAATAAAGAAAAAGATAAACAAAAAGAAAAGATTGTATTAGAAAGTAAGACCTAGCTTAAGCAAAATTTCTAAATAAATTGGCAGAAGAATTGTGACGTTAATGTGACAAGTCGGGTTTTTCTCTTCGCGATTCGCCAAACCGAAGTTTAGTATTAAACAAAAATTTAAAAATTTAGTTTTGAACTCAAGTTCAATAACTACAACTCGCAGTAAGATGGAGAAGGATTTGTAAGTGAATAGCGTATTAATTTATATTATGTTTGATATAATATAATAAGTAGAGGAGAATATGATTGCTAGTGCTCCAGGACTTAGCCCGACTAGGAACCAACTTCTGAGGAAGTTTCTTAATATGCCTTAAACCAAGGGTAGGGGTGCCACTACCTGTGATTTTTTTGACGAATTCGACGAAACGTATGACAGAAAATAATAAAAGACATAGTGGTTGTCGGCAGTGTATTTGGAAAAATTCCACAATCTTATATTTAGGTACAATGTTAATGAATAGGACCAACGAAGCAATGAAAACGGTGAAAAAAGCCTGCAATGCCAGTAAGAGAAGTAAATTATATTGTCAGATACTCAAATCCCGTTGAGATGCTGCCACGAAAGCCACCTTGTATCGGTGCAGTGAGGATATTCGACAGCTCTGACAAATTGCTCGTTACATGGTAAACATCATCAGGTTTTTTATGCTTTGTCTGTTGTGTTGTAAATAATTAATTGCAAGTAAGTCTGGATTGCAATTATTCTTTATTTTTTTATTAACAAAAACTTCTGATTTAAGTGGAGAACATTAAAAAGGAGCGCGTTGCCACAAAAACACAAAAAAAAATGGACTGAAGAAATAAACAACATTTTAATGAATTTTTAAATTATCATTAAACCATATTGTATTTACTTAATATCATTTTAGAAAAATTACACAAAATGATTTTGGCATTCAAACGAACAACAATTATTATTAATGCGCAGGCAAAAGTATCAACTCCCCGCGGGTCATCCACAACGAAATTCATTCCATCCTCAACCCACACTTGGACGAGGTTGTGTGCAACAAGATGCAAAAAGACAATCCCGAGTAAGCCGCAGGCCGACATATCCTGATTATAATGAAAATAGAAGTCTTAAGAAATCATAAAAAGAAATTAAAATGTCAAATCCGAACAACTTAAAACGCATTTTTGTATTCTCTGTATTTACGAGCCTTTTAAGAGACTCTTGTCATAAGAAACCAAATAATATGGAATGCTGACACAGTCCTCAAATCGTACTTTGATTTATTCCTTTCAACAGGTAGGGAGAAAACTGAGACATATTTTATTGGTATGAGTGCAGTTTGTTATATATTCCTTTTTCTAACTTCAACATTTTTATTACATGTTGATAGAGGAACTTTATTACAAAAATGTGACGAATTCCAAAGAAAATATTCAGATATAATCGGCCCAAGTTATTCACTTTAATTTATTAATATTTACCACCTACTTTTACCTTACCTCAATCATAGACTGTTCACCAATTGTGTAAAGGAATAATCAGCAAATATGGTGTGCTAGAATGCAACCTATCGAAAGTATTTACAGCAATGATTCTTAACAATTCCTGTCCTTCTGCTGGAATGCGGAAAGCCTACCTGGAGCTAAGCAATCGTACCGAAGGAAATAATGGCAGTAGACATGCTTTACTAAAAGCAGTCAAAGACCTGCCGATATTTACTGACACTGTTAACTCGTTTTTTAGCAGCAAAGATTTGTTAAGTCAAATAATGGCAGTAGACATGCTTTACTAAAAGCCGTCAATGACCTGCCAAAATTTACTGGAACAGGAGAGATAACTATTAACTCGTTTTATAGGAGCAAAGAATATTTGCTATAGACAATAAATGATAATGAACTGCAGAAGGAAATAGTACGATCAATATTTACAGAACCATTCAAGGAGAAGCGAAGGACATCCTAATAAGCGTACCACAACCAAACTACTGGCAACTCATTAAGAAACTGAGATACAAACCAGACGTAGAGCACCATCTCTATAAAAGAATAGCAAACCTTAAGATAAGTTCAGTTAATGAATTATTGAGAGAAGTTCAATTCTTCCATTCGAATCAACCAGTTCGTTTTTCTAGTAATACCCGAACGCGACTTAAAAATTAAATTCGCACGGATCAAATGAACTATGTGACCGACAGAAGACTGGATGGTATTCAATTTCTTCTCTTTAAGAAACTTGTCCGTGATTCAACTGCTGTCGATTTGAAGACCAATGAAAAATATAGGTTTGAAACTGGTACATAAAACCTGTGTCATTACTAAAAAGGGATGCAAACGACCTCCTTTGCCTTTAGATAATATAGATGCAGTACAACGTCCGCAGTAAACCTCATAGGGTGTATAAAGTAACTAGACACGATTAGTTGTTGTTGTTGTTGTAGCGGCAGAGTTCTGTTCTAGACACGATTAGTCGTATTTTGTGGTATTCGCTAAAATAAGTCTTTTCATAGAACAAGCTCAAAGAGAAGGGTTAGGTTTGTTCCATTTAAAAATGTTAAAAGTGGTATTAGTCATATGTTACTTTGTGACCAACTAAGGATTTATCCTGGATTTGCCACTTCTCTTACGAAATAACAACTATTGACCGGATAAAATACAGCTCAATTTCCGTAACGCAAACCCAGCTGTTGTGGGACCGACCCTACGTTTTACTGCAATAGAATTGCATGTTATTGCTGGACGCTAATAGAGTAGGACGCTATCCTCTTTTGAGAAAAACATAGCAAATCAGTTTGAGTTCAAATATATAGAGAAGTAATGCTTGTTAAGAAGCTGATAGCCGGATTGCATGAAATTTTTAGATCATATTAACCGAAGTAGAGTTCAAGAGCAAACCATGGCTTTGTAAAATATGCTAAAACATTAAATCAATATGATTAAAATAAATTAAAATATGTAAATTTAAATCTTAAAATAAAAAATAATAATTATAACAGCAATTGGCAAAAAAAAAAATATCTAAATGTTTGAATTCAACTATTCTTTTATCGTACTGTCTCTCATTGAGTCAATTCACAAAATTTGTTAGAAATAACAATGCAATACTGCCTGCATTTAAGTATGTCAGCAATATGGTGTATTAGGCTATTTTTCGGTCATCTCAAAAAATAATTGATATAGTATGTTTACACATTTTTACCAATATTTTTTTTCTGAAATATTGGTTTTGTTTTGAAAATATTTGTGTTTTTTTTAATATTTTTTTGTTTCAAAAATATTGTTATTTCTAATTTTTTTTTTTAACTTTTTTAAATAGTTTTGATTTTGTTTACTTGAACTTGTGGTAGTGAAAGGTTTTCATAAATTAAATCAAGCTATTCTATGACTAATATTAGAATATTAAATCTATATATGCTTGAAGGTAAATTATGTACTCTACATACAAACATTAAATGTTATTATTTGGTCTGTACCTCTACGCCTTACATACTAATCGCTGTGATTCAGTATCTATGCTGTTCAGTAATAATAAGTTTAGAACTTACATTAACGGTAACAGCAGCAATCCGCTTAAGAGCTTTATTATGGTTAGAAGTATTCAATTGCTTTTCTTTGTCTGCAATATTTTTCTCCAAAATTGATTTGCTTAACACTCGAAATCGCTTATCTGCAGTAAAAACAAAACGTTATAAGTAACAAAAAAAAGATGGTGGTGATTTTGTTGTTAACAGTAACACACCTTTCGACGAATTCAGCCACAGAAAGTAAAACCACGGTTTATTAGCAGCTACACAGGAATGCTTATTCCTAATCGGGATATAAGTAATCCTGTAGTATGTTTTGAAATGCAATCTTAATTTTACCACGATCTCGTCCGTTTAATTTTTGAATATCAGGTAGTAAACTCATGAGGAACATAGCGTCCGGATCCGTTTTGCAGTCACATAACTCCACATGTGACTGAGGCGCAGGTGGAGGCGCTGCTGTATTGGCTGAATTCACTAACGTTGACACCGGTACCACTGCACTTGCAGCATTACTGCTACTCAAACCAGCGCCAGCAGTGCCAGACGATACTGAGGCAATTTCTAAACGATGATGTGAGTTAGCACTTCCACCAGCACTATGATGACTGTAATTGTGTGTGTGATGACTAGCAGTTGAGTGGCGTTGGTGATGCTGGTGACTCATAGCAGTCGAAGTTGTTGCAACCTGGTTACTTATACTCGATGTACTACTCGCATTCAAATCTGCATCGTTATTTGGATTATTTGTCAATGCATTGCCTGTGCTGATGCCAGTGCCAACACTGAGACCGCCAGGACCAGAATTGCTGGTGGTAGTGCTGACCAATTCCATAGGTTTTGCCAGCGTTGGTCGTACTAAGGAAATATTTGTATGTGTTGATACTGTGCTGACTTGGGAGCTATGCACGCGTGTATGACCACTACCACTAACCGGTGGTATAGGAGGAGCGCTGGGGTGTGAATTAGTATGTAAACTACTCCCAGCTGTAGTAGCCAAATTCCCGCTGCCGGCAGCAGCAATAGCATGTGTGCTACTTATGCTATCCCGCGAGCGTGGTCGCTTAATGCGAAACTCATCTTGGTATGAGCGTGATTGCAAACGCATAAACTGTTGCATGCGTAGTTGTGCACGTCTATCTTCTAATGGAATTGTGGTGGTGCTGCTGCTTCCATATGAATCCATCATGAAATTACGCATTTCCATCTCTTCAAGTTCATTATCTTCTTCCTCTTGACGCACAGCTGCGATTTCTGGTTCATAATCATCAACATCCGATTTAACATCATCACATTCCGATTTTATATCATTGTTAAGTGTATGCACGTGTGCGTCCGATTGGCGAAAACGATTTCGCTGCTCATCCTCCATAACATCTTCTAAATCATCGGAATTATTCGGCTCGGCATCATCAAAATATTCCAAGTAATTATCGATTGGTTGCTGATGCGTTTGTTTAGAATGTAAAATTGACGAGTGTACATCGTTTGTAACGTTATTACCGCTAAGAGCGGCAGCTGCGTTGGCAGCCACCGCTGCTGTGCGTTCTCGCTGCAAACGATCAGATAAAGAGCTGATACGTACTAAGGCGTCCTGTACTTGTGAGTCAAGTGATTTGGGTGGTGTATGTTTTCTAAAAATATTAGTTGTTTTTTTTAAATTAACACTACTCTTAAATTTAAATAGCAAACTTACTTCCTTAAATAGGGATGTAGAAAAAACATGCGATCAAAATAAGTCCAACAGGGCGGTATCTTTTCTTCTAGATAATTTGTGTACTCGCGGCGAAAAGATATACGCAAATTAGTCCACTTTGCAAGGCTGGCGCCAGCTACAATTCAAATAATGTAAAGTATAACAATGTGCGTGTTACAACTACGCAGTTATCGTTTACTTACGATTCTTTTCAAGTTTTTGATCAACTTCACGCCAGAAATTCTCTACATATGGTCGACAAAAGTAGTATTTATGGCGCGGATTATAAATAGCCTCATCATGTTGTACCATATCGATCAGCTTGAAAACCTCTTCAGTTAGCCAACGTGAGGATGAACACGAAGGGACGCCAGTTACGTTTGCATAGTAATCATTCGCCATTTCTTTAAAGCAACGAAATTACAATTATTTTATCGCTGTGTAATTTGAATTTGACACCTACTTCACTTTAAAAAATATATATGCTTTTGCGATTTTTACTGCAACCACTTTTTACACATTCCACTACGTTCATTTCATTCAATTTCGTGAGAAAATGCAACGTTCGTCCGGCAAATGATGTGATAAAAGGAAATGATAATTGCACAAAAACAAAACAATTGGAAATTAATAATGTGTGGCCGGACTGAATTAAAAGACACTTTAAGCGACATTTCGGAATAACTACCAGATAATGTAAAATTACTTAAACACTGGTGTTTAACAAATAACTTATTAATGAATAATTTATTTCTCAGTTGATTGATTGTTTTATTAATTTTCTTTATATTTTTATACTTAAAAAGCCTAATAATGTGTTGAACACAATGCTCGCGACAGACTGCAGCAGCACGACAGTGAACTGAAAATGGCGTTGTGAATCCTACTACAAGAACGTTTGTGAGAGAGCAGCAACATAACAATGGCCGGCATGTACACAAAACAACGCAGTCGTCCATTTTGCATGTACACAATTTCGTTGTGGCCATATTAATACCTTGCACTTCAATGAAATTTTAATATTTTGTTCAAAGTGAAATTTTTAAGAAAAACATAAGTAAATAGGTAAATTTATTTGTTTTAAATTATCAATTGTTATTATAAATGTGTGTGTTTTAATATTTGACAGATGTCGTTTGCAGTCTGTCGCGAGCATTGTGTTCAACACATAATTTGCAATTCCAATTGTGTTCAATTTGCAAAAATATTTCCAATCTTTTACTTGAAATGATTAATAAGCTATTAAGCGCCAGATGTCACAATTGTTGCCAAGCAGCTGACGTTCTCTCTCTCTCTCTCTCTTTTGACATTTGGCGCCAAAACAAGCGTTTTCCCTTCATTTCTTGTGCAAAATTTGCAAAATTGATCATTTGAAAAGTTTACATCGTGTAGTTAGGTTGTGAAATTTCAGATTGTAAATTAATTAAAGTTGATTTGTCTGATTTGTGTATATTTCAAGTTGTATATCTTTAATCACAATAAACCGCCACAATGTTTGAAGCGCGTCTTAATAATGCAACTACACTCAAGAAGATCTTGGATGCCATCAAAGATTTGCTCAACGAAGGCACATTTGATTGCAGCGATTCCGGCATACAGGTTGGTGCACAAATTATCAAATTTTGTATTACCAGTACTGATTCCTAAATTTTCCCTGCAGTTGCAAGCTATGGACAATTCCCACGTCTCACTTGTTTCCTTAACATTACGCTCAGATGGCTTTGATAAATTCCGTTGTGATCGGAATCTTTCAATGGGAATGAATTTAGGCAGCATGGCTAAAATTCTAAAATGTGCCAACAACGATGATACTGTAACAATTAAAGCACAGGATAATGCAGATACAGTAACATTTATGTTCGAATCTCAAAACCAAGAGAAAGTTTCCGATTACGAAATGAAATTGATGAATTTAGATCAGGAGCATCTTGGTATACCGGAAACTGACTACTCATGCGTTGTACGCATGCCCGCAATGGAATTTGCACGCATCTGTCGTGATCTAGCACAATTCAGTGAATCTGTTGTTATTTGCTGTACAAAGGAAGGTGTAAAGTTCTCTGCATCCGGCGACGTTGGTTCGGCTAATGTGAAATTGGCACAAAATTTAAACGTTGACAAGGATGATGAAGTTATTGTGATTGAAATGCAAGAGCCTGTTGTGTTAACATTCGCTTGTCGTTACCTTAACGCTTTCACAAAGGCGACGCCACTCTCAAATCAAGTGCAGCTGTCGATGTCGGCCGATGTGCCGCTGGTGGTTGAATATCGTATAGCCGAATTGGGACACATCCGCTACTATTTGGCGCCGAAAATCGAAGATGATGAGAATTAGTTGTATATGCGTATCGGTATGTTGGTTGCACAGTCACGGTGCAACTAGCTTTTTTCGATTTGATGTAAGAAACTTAAATATTAACTAATTTTAAGCACTAAAATATGTAGTACGTCATTGTACTTTTGCTAACATTGTAAAATGGTCACTTACGTATGTGTACATGCAGTTGAGTATATTTAATATTTTTTGAATGTAGCAACAGATATTTCAAAATAAATTTTATATGCATATTCAGTACAATTTTGGTGTTTAAAATCTTTAATATCATATGTATGTATATATGTAGGTGTGATTCTTCTTAAAAATGTACTAATATGCATGTAGGTATGCAAGTTCGATAAAGTCTGTGATATGGAAAAGCTTCAACAGCCAGTTACAAAGTTGACTGAAATGATGCGCTAAAGAAAGACTTAGGACTCTTAAATCAGGTCATTGTATGGAAGACTGTTATACAAACAAGAAATCTTCACGGAATTCTTCATAAAATATTACTCAAGATCCCATAGAAGCTGGATGATCCAAATCAAGTTCTTCTATGGAAATTTTTTTATTCCACGAATTATCTTCATGAAATTTTTGTTTTCAAAGCAACAGTAAATCCGAACAAAATTGGTCTTGTTTTATTATGCAGTAATAAAAATAACAGCAATAGAAAAAGCGTTAATTTGTAATCGATAATCCCTTGCCATCATTGATTTCTGAATTTAATTAATTCAAATTCAATGAATTATAACAAATTGATTGGTATTTTCGAATTTTCTTTATTTGTACTGGACAGCGAATAGCTATTTAACGATCAATGTTTGAAATAAAATGCATATGATAACATAAAACCTAAGTCTATTTAACAGTAAACTGATTGTATGGAAAAATGTAAGTGTATGAAACTGGTAAATTTCGAACACTTAAGACAGCACGCTCTATTCGACAATGTAATTGGGATGTACGACCAATAATGGATCGTCTGGCTCCTCCGTTTCATCATCGGGTCGACGCGGACTTTTACCTGGTTGTCGCAATTCGGTTGTCTTTAATGGTATAATAACTTGATCATGATATATTAAACGATCGATAACTTTCTCAATTAAATGTTTACGTGAGATAAGTTCCTCTTCGGATTCAATTTGATCCGCGACTTGTTCCAAATACCAAGTAACAACATCACTGCGTTTCATACCCGAATCGGTGCCTTCTGTTTCGCAGCGTGCTTCCTCATTACGCATATGCAATGCCAACATGGTAGATAGATTTTTGTAATCTTCAAATGACAGAGTGAGCTTTTTCTTTTGTGGCACGCTACCGCTTGCTTCAACGCCATCTTCAACTTCGGCACCTTCAGTTGCAATCGTATTGCTCGCGCCATTAGCTGCACCCCCATTATTTTCCATATCCACATCACCCACATATGCATCTTCATTGCCCTCGTCATCGTCCAAATGTATATCAGGCTGTTCGACACGTATAATTGATTTGTTAAGTAAACGATAAGCTTCTTTAACATGTCGTTCCTGCACTTCATTCATGCACTCTAGTTTGGCCATGGCCTCGCTCAGACGTATCATTGACTCCAACTGGCGTACTGTGATACGCCATGTGCTACGGCCGGCAATACCAGTGTCGCGCTGACGTAGGTGTCCGTAGTTCTCCACAAGCAATTTCATTGCTTCTTGACCGATAATCGGTTTGAATTGACGGGCAAATGTTATGTAGCGCAACACTTCTTCGCGCGTATACGCACACTCAACGGACTCTTCAATGTGCGAGTGTAAATCGACAATCTTGCGCGCTATAGCATAGTCCACCACTTCATTGCATTCGTCTACGAGTATGAAAAATAAATCGAAACGTGACATAATTGGCGCTGACAATTGTATATTCTGTTGTAAACTTTTTGTACGGTCATAACGTCCATTAATTGGATTGGCGGCGGCCAAAATGGAAGTGCGCGCATTTAAGGTGGCACGCACTCCAGCTTTTGCTATGGAAATTGTTTGCTGTTCCATAGCTTCGTGTATAGCGACTTGATCGCGTAGATCCATTTTATCGAATTCATCAATGCAACAAATACCATTGTCGGCCAACATAAGCGCGCCGGCTTCGATGACAAAATCGAAACTCTCCTCATCACGCACCACAGCGGCAGTAAGACCAGCTGCGGAGGAAGCTTTACCAGAAGTGTAAATAGCGCGCGGCGAAAAGTCGGCTACTTGTCGCAGAAATTGTGATTTCGCCGTACTGGGATCACCTACAATACAAACGTTGATATCGCCACGCAAAGTTGTTTCTGTAAACAATAAAAAGGACGTTATGATATTGTATACACACAAATTAAAATTAGATACCGGTCGATGTAAGCAAAATTTCAAATTGATATCTCAAACTATTACTGACAAGTACATATATACAAAAGGACGGACAGAAGGAATTGATCCAACTCATAATACTGATCATAATATTCATATATATTTTATAGGGTCTCGACAGTTACCGTCTGGGTGTTACAAACTTCCAGGCAAAATAAATATACCATGTGAAGGTTATAAACAAATTTCCACTTACTTTCATGCGTAGTCTTGCCCACACCACCAAACAGCTGCAACAGTACACCACGCTTGACCTCATCATTTCCGTAGATGGAGGGAAACAGACTGGTGATGAGGTGGTTATACAAAGAACGATCTTTGGACATTTCGTATACCTTATTCCACTCAGCATCAGTCATTTGTTTTTTCATATCCTCTGCTGTTACCTCGGACATAGGCAAGTCGGTGCCACCAAAACGCGCAGTTGTTGTTTGTACGCTGCAAGCCAAAAAGGACATGCGATAGTTGAGTTCCCGTGTGCCTAATTCTTTTAAACCTGATACGCCTTCCGGACCATCGCCTGGCTTATGTCGCGAACCCATGTCAGCTTTGGCGCCCGGCATATTTAAGACACCCACATCGGGCACTACTATTAATGTGCCAGTGAAATCATAACGATCGCCTGCTTGCACAGTTTCCACTAATTCTGAACGTAAAATGATTTCCACTGAACGTGGTATGCAGCCACGCGGCAGCTCTGATTGCGTTTCCTGTATGCGTATTTTTTGAAAATCAACGAAAAGCGATTTCTCCACATCCAGCATGAAGCGACGCCGATTACTGCATACAGGATTGCGACAGATGGTTGGATTGGTAAACTTGAATTGTTGCTCTACATTGCGTATTTCAGTTTGACAATCCATACACATGAATGTGCCAGACACCAGTTCAGGATGCACTGGATGTGTACGTACCACTTGACCAGATATGCGTATCAATGTGCCAATTTTGGATGTTGTTAAATCACGTACTTTATGTCGCGTGGGCACATCAGTGAAGGAGATGTAACATTCTTTTTCGTTCTTTAAACCACAACGATCCTTGACGAAATTTGAAACAGACTGACACAGGAATGGGTAGATGCTATAAAAAAAAGTTGTGTTATTTCAAAAATTAACATACAAACACACTAACTTACCGATAGTATTCTTCGATAATTGTTGTTGCCAAATTTTGATTGTACTTTTCCACATCGTCGAAAGACACTTCTAGTGTATAGCGATCTGGCGATTCCAAATCTGCTGCAGGTTTCACATATTTTATTTCACCGTCTTCTCTAAACCTAAAGTATACATTATATACATTTTCACTTTTTTGCTCTGCACGAAATCACTTGTCCTCCACTTACTCTTCTAAGAAATCCTGAAAGAGTTTTTGACAACGTAAGCCAACCTCATCCTTTACGCGTAATTGTCCAATTTGTGCGTCAGCTACATCCATTGCAATGCTTCAATTTGGTGTTGTATTTCTTGGCAATTAGCTGCTTATTTGAGTTATTTATTCCCGAAATACTAAACACGCTAAACGCAAATAAAGAATATTGAATGTTTGTATGGCATTTGACAGCGCTGGCATTTGTTTTGGCGCGCACATGAAGACGCTGATAGCACTGGTGTTGTCATTAAAAACTTGGCAGCATTGCTGAAGCATAATATAATTCGTAATTGATTGATAAATTTTAATTAAAATAAGCGTCAAAGTTATGTATGGACAAAAATGAAAATATCAAGGAATCAAAATTAGGCATTTTTTTATATTTTTTCAAAAAAATTTGCATAATTTGTAGAAATAGTTTTATATTATTATATTTGAATGCAATCGGTATATAATTCTTGTATTGATTTGGCAGTACTGATATAGCGGTTTCCGCCATAGTTAACGGGGAAGTGAAAAATTAAGAATATAAAATATATGGCTTTTGAAAATTCAAGCTTAATGGCAAAATAAATAGAGTAAAATTTGAAAACGTGTGTTTTACTACAATTCCCGGTTTAGTTGTGTTTGTAGTTGTATTGTTTGTTAAAATTGAGTTATTGATTGCTATGAAAACCCGGATGTGAATTATGCATTGAGGAAATGATGCGCATCATAATTGCGGCGCAACAAAATGGCTTTTGCGCTTAGCAAAGAGTGCCTTGGTGTGCAGGTTAGTTGTAGAATGAATTTTTTTTTTACTAATATGTACTATATATTTTTTGAAAATAGTTGTATAATATAATTTGATATGTCCATACAATGTATGTACATATTAGTATTTTAGAGTAGCGCCTATTATTGTGTAATGTTCATATAGCTTTGCAATATATCAATTAAAATTTCGTTTAACTCTTTCTACTTAGTAAGCGTTCATAAACTAATTTTCTGAATTTGGATATGCCAATTATATAGCTTGGATAGATAGATAAAAAATGAAATTTGCACGCCAGCTAAGGTCTCTTGTGTACTCTCCTAAGTCACAACACCTCACTCACAATACTGTATTCGAATATAATGCTAGGTGCTATTGAGGTAATATGATCCCTATTTGGAAACATTTAGATCCATGCCTTTGTCTTTGAGTCTGCAGACTTCCGTGCAGTCACCCTGCGTTTCAGGCTCCATGTCGCAGAACCGGAATTTGTACAAGAGGCTGGGCCCATATTATGTAAGTTCTTCTTGACCTTGATACAATTCCTTGTCTATTAGTTCCTCCTTGCGAAGCAGCACCTTTATGAAATGAGGATCAACTGCAATAAAGGGTTCCGGTCCCACCATGTTGGTGGATGCTGCGGAGAGGTCGAGTTTATCAGTCCGGCTATACCTTTGTGAACGTTACGATAAACAGTTCAGCCGTTATCTACACTCCTGCACAAATAGCGACTTGTCTTGCATATATTG